TCCCTGGCTCCACAGAAGGTCCCTTAAGCACGGCCAGAGCCACTCCTGAGCACAGAGCCAGGAACAGGCCCTGAGCACTGCTGGGTGTGGCTCCTAAACAAAAACAAACTTAAAGAAACCAGCTCTGCGGTTGACTGCTATGAGAGATCCCAATGTTAAATAAAAGGTAAAGGCCCTCCCGTTGATCGTCGATTTGCTCGAGCGGGCCCAGTAACGTCTCCATTGGAGACTTTGTTGTTACTGTGTCTGGCATATCGAATACTCTCGGTAGCTTGCCGAGCTCTCCGAGAGGGGCGGAGGAATCGAACTCGGGTCGGCCATGTTGGCCGCTTGTAAGGCGAACGCCCTACCACTGTGCTATCGCTCCAGCCCTAATGTTAAATAATTATGAATGACAAACACTTGGGGCCGGAGCGATAGCACAGCGGGTAGGGCGCTTGCCTTGCACGTGGCCGACCCGGGTTCAATTCCCAGCATCCCATATGGTCCCCTGAGCACTGCCAGGAGCAATTCCTGAGTGCATGAGCCAGGAGTAACCCCTGTGTATTGCCGGGTGTGACCCAAAAAGAAAAAAACAAACCAAAAAAAACAAACAAACAGAGGGCTGGAGAGATAGCACAGCGGGTAGGGTGTTTGCCTTGCACGTGGCCGACCCAGGTTCGATTCCCAGCATCCCATATTGTCCCCTGAGCACCGCCAGGAGTAAATCCTGAGTGCAGAGCCAGGAGTAACCCCTGTGCATCACCAGGTATGACCCAAAAAGCAAAAAAAGAAAAAAGAAAACCAAAAATGACAAACACTTGTATGATTTCACTTACCTATGTTAAGTAGAGAAACAAACAGATGGATCAAATGAAGCATGTGCGCGCACACACACAGACACACACACACACACACACACACACACACACAATATTTGGCCCATAAGAGCATTATTGGCTATTACAAGGAAAGGACAAAGGGCACACTGTGTGGTGAAGGATGAAATTGGATGTTTAGCATTAATAGTATACATACACACGTTCAACGATGCATACCTGAAACAATGTTGTAACACAATATAAATTAAATAAAAATAAAATATAAAAGTTAAGTATTTTTAAAAACCAGGGATATTTGAGCACAGTTATACTTTTAGTTTTTCAAATATAACACAGTTATATTTGAACACAAGAATGCTACTACTGTGTCTTTAGAGGACTGGAGTTTGTGCTCTTTAAGCTATACACCCAAGGCCTCAGCTTGAGCAGTGCCCCACCATTCCCTTAGCAGATAAGAAGAATGAATTAGATCCAGTGAGTTCCGTCTTTTACTGATGCCAAGACTAAACACTGTTTTGTTGCATTATAACATCTCTTAAGTCCAGATGCATCTTACAATGGATGATATTTTATCATTGTTTTTGGTCTCGTGCTGGAGAGTTGTTTTGTCATGGTCTGAACATGCACAAACTTGGTGGTTATTTCTGGAAGAATGACTTGGCAACTGTAATCTCCATTGACTTCTGTCAACAAATCATATTCAAAACCATCTGGAAAAGAACCGTATGCTGCTTGTCTAAAAACCTTCCATTGACACCTTCAGATAACATCCGGAAAGTGCTTGCAATGGAAATGTGTGCAAGAGGAAGGAGACAGTGGCTTGGAAGCAAATGGTACTGGGATACTATTAGGAAATGCTGCATCACCAGTGCACAGGGATCAGGGATATGAGGGTACCAATGGCTAGGTGCCTGAAACATGATTCAGAAGAAGAGAAAAATCTGAGTGTGAAGAAGTGATAGGCATTCTTACATCTTTTTTATATTTTCCTTTTGGGATAGGGGTGAGGGGTTTGGGCCACACTCAGAAGTGTTCAGGCTTATTCCTGGTGGTGTTCTGGGGATCAAATGTAGTGTCTGGAATCAACCAAAGTTAGCCATGTGCAAAGCAGTACCTTAACCCCTATACTATCTCTCCATCCCCAAATTTCTCTTTTCATTTGCAAGGATGATGTAACAATGCGTTTTTATTTACTACATTTTATAAATTTAATTTAAAATTTTATATTTTGGCCTCCCAAACAGTGCTCAGGGGGTCCCAAGGACACTTTGATAATGATACTCAGTGAACTGGGCCAAACAGTTCAGTGCTGGGACCTTCCAGTCTTACAGCTGTTGATGATTTGGGGGTTAGACAGAGTTTGAACTTAGGTCTCTGCACACATGCAAGATGTGTGCTTCTGATTGCTGAACTCTTGTGTCTAAGTCTAAAAGCACTCATTTGATAAGCATGTAAAATTCTCTGTGGTTTAAAACAGAAAAGTTCAAATAGTTTTATTGAGAGCATTTTTCTTGTCTTTGGGCCACACTAAGTGGTACTCAGAGCTTACTCCTGGCTTTGTGCTCTAGGATTACTCCTGGCAGGGGTCTAGGAAACATATGGAATCCTGGGGATCAAAACAGGCAAGACAAGTGCTTTACCTACTGCTGTGCTATCACTCCAGACCGAAGACCATCTTTTTTTTTTTTTTTTTTTTTTTTGCTTTTTCGGGCCATACCCAGCAATACTCAGAGCTTACTCCTGACTCTGTGCTCAGGATCACTCCTGGTGGTGCTTGGGGGACCATATATGGTGCTAGGGATTGAACCTGAGTCAGCCATGTGCTAGGCAAACACCCTTTACTCTGACCCAACTGAGACTATTTTTTTAAGTAGCTATCAGCTTTTCTAGTCTGATGATTTCTCCTATCTACTTAAACATTATTGAGGACCCTAAGAAATTTTTTTTTGTGTGGTAATATCAGGGCTGGAGTGATAGCACAGCGGTAGGGCATTTGCCTTGCACGCAACCAGCCCGGCTGACCAGTGTTCGATTCCTCCACCCCTCTTGGAGAGCCTGGCAAGCTACCAAGAGTATTCAATATGCCAAACACAGTAACAAAAAGTCTCACAATGGAGACGTTACTGGGCCCGCTCGAGCAAATCGATGAACAACGGGAGGACAGTGACAGTGTGGTAATATCAATTATTTGTCATATAAAATATTAGAGTTTTTTTTTTCTTTTTTGGGATCACTCCCTGAGTGCTCTGGGGGATTATGGGATGCTGGGGATTGTACATGGGAGTACTGCATGCAAAACATGTGCTCTGACCCTTTGAGTCAGCTCTCTGGCCCTGAAGCAGAGACCTTTGATGTCAAAGAATGTAGAAATACAGGGAGCAGTTCAAGTGGTAGAGCACATGTTGAGCTTGTACAAGGGTCTGAGTTCAATCCCCATGTTTTTTTTTTTTCTGCAAAAAAACCCACAGATCACATAGCCTAAAGAATCCAGTGTACACTGGTAAAAGTATGAGAACAACGGGCAGATAATATTACTTTAAGAGGCTCGTGGATTCCTTGGAAAGGGGTGATTACATGTTAGGGTTGATGAATATGACTATATTTCTGCTGAAAATACTGGAAGGAATAAAATTCTGACAATGTGGACAACCTTGATACTGTTGAACAGTTAGTGTAGTACTAGGATACTGACTGAGAAATACTGTTCCTCTTCCTCTCATGCTAGGCACCCTGCACATCTGGGTAATTCTGCCCCTGCCTACCAGACAGAAGTAGACCTGACTGTCAAGAATGAGGAGGATGGTTCCAAGTTGGGACAAAGATGAAAGGCAGAACAGGGTGTGGCCCCAGCTGAGTGGACTGGAATCCTGGAGCTGGAGAGGAGCTGGGTTTGTAGCTGCAGCTGATGGAAATTTGGGGAGACTTGCCAGACAAGCTCTTCAGATGGTACGGGTACATAAGGTTACAACGCTGAAGTGTAGGGTTTGAACTGTAGGTTCCATCATAGGTGAATTTTCTTATAAACTGAACATTTTCTTATAAACTTTACAGTGCAGTTCTGTAAGGGCATTTTATTAATAGTTTTAAACTTTAATGTAAATAAAGAATAAAATACATATGCAAATATGTGTTCATCTGTTTTGTTGTTGGGAAGGAAGGCTGAAGAGTGCAGCAGTCAGCTGTGTGTCATCCTTTCTTACTCCTTCAATGTCCTGGAGGCTGCCAATCACATTCTCTGCCGGTTGGGATGTCTTAAGCTCGATCTTGTGTCTTTTTTTTGTTTTGCTTTGTGCTGGGGCCACACGCAGGTAGTTCTCCGGACTGCCTGCCTCTGCGCTCAGCTACCATTCCTGGTGGGGGCTCAGCAGACCATATTTTGTGCTGGGGATCTAACACGGGTCAAATGCGAATAAAAGAAGCACCTTTTACCTCTTTATCTCTATACTATCTCCCCTGCCCAAAGAATCAAGGTCTTAATCAAACATTAGATTTTAAAGCCTAACACTGGAACCCAGGGGTCCCGGGAAACGTCTTCCAAATCGCAGTGCTTATCTCTGGGTCATCTCTGGCGAGTGGGAGGCGGGAGCCGCGCGCGACTCAGGTGTGCGGATCCACAAGTTCTTTGCGTCGCACAGCGGACAAAACTTGGGGAGAACAGAGGTCTTTTTCTTTTTCCTTTTTCCCTTCCGGGCGCACCTTATGTGGCCCAGGACATTCATGCACGTTCTCCACGATGCCTTAATAACGTGTGGTCGGCGTTATGTTTGTAGTTTTCATCTTTGCCCCTGGGCTCGGGTCTCGTTCAGCAACCTGCGAGAGTGGGTGGTGGTGGTGGTGGTGGTGCCGAGGCTACTCGGGACTCTGGGCCGGGATTCGGCGTGGCGGGGGGCAGGCGCAGACAGGATCCGAGAGGCTCGTGCCACCTGCAGGAAACCCAGGTGAGCGGAGGCGGCGGGAGCGGCGAGCGGGTCTTGGCACCCCGGGGCTGGGCGGGGCCGGCTCGCGGTGGGGGTGGGGGCGTGGGGGCGGGCCCGGGCCGGGGCGGAGCCGGGGGCGGGGTCTGCGAGTGAGGGGCGGCGTGCCACTGGCCGAGCGGAGCGTCGCGGGGCGGGCGGCGGGGGGGAGGCGCCACATCCGGGAGGCTGCGGGGGCCTCCCAAGTTTAAAGCCGCCGCTCGGGCTGCTCCCCGGGCTTCGGAGCTGCGCTCCAATGCCCCCGAGCGGCCATGAGCGCCCCGCACTGGTGGGACCAGCTGCGCGCTGGCAGCTCGGAGGTGGACTGGTGCGAGGACAACTACACCATCGTGCCTGCCATCGCCGAGTTCTACAACACGGTGCGGGGCGCGGGGGGCGCGCGGCGCGGGGCTGTCCCCGAGCCTGGAAGCCGGACAGCGTGGGGGTGGCGTGGAGGTGTCGGGCGCTGCTCGGGTCCGGGAGCGGGGCGCTTCTTCGTTCCCGGGGTGGCCCCCCGCCCCCCGGCGTGGATCTCCGCCGCCACCCCCTGCGCGCAGCGCCGGCCCTTCCATCTGTCCGTCTCTTGTGCCTACCTGTCCCTGACAGCTGGGCTCCTTCTCCCCCGCTTGACATTGCCTTCGGATGACCCCTTTGTCTTGTTTGGTCCCCACCGGTGGCCGGAACATGTGACCCCTGTCAGCCTGTTCTCTCGGCTAGGGTCAGTCTGGCTGGACAGCTTTCCTCCTTCGGCGTGACGCACTTGGGTCGCATTGTGCAGCTTTGTTGTTGTTTTGTTTTGTTTTTGTCCTGATTGTTTTGTGCTTGCTCCTGGATTATTGGTAAATAGAGAGGGGACCCTCACCCCCACCCCCACCTTAGGCAGGAACCGAACTCACTTGCCCCAAACTCATCTGGCCCACTTCCATGAAGAAGTAAAATCTTTGGTGGAATTACTTTTGCCGGAATCAAGTTAATAGCGACCAATTCTTCCCCCCCCCCCCCCCCCCCCACCTTAAGCAACCAATGTAAGCCAATGTAATGCCCGCTTCCAATCCAGTCCCGCCAGAGCGGTGCTCTCTGTCTCCTGTCAGCGAGTGCCAGAGATGAAAAGGGAGCTGCAGACTGATGATGAGAATGTTTTCTGCACTTGCCCGGATCCCGAGATTAGGGCCAGTGGAAACTTCCCGGCTTGCAGAATCCTGTGCCTTTGTAGAGGGAAAGTGGCTTTTAGGAAGGAAATGCTCCACGTTTTCTCTGTGCCCACACGGCTGGGGATTCTGGTCCCGACTGTAAGACTTTTCGTGGTTATTTCTTTGACTTTTCACTGCCCAGAGGAAACCAGAAATCCCGGTTTAAGTGCCATTGTGAATATGCGATTGTTAGGTAGAATCTCTTTCTCTCTCTCCCTCCCTCTCCCCCCCCACCCCTTTTAGATTTGCTAAGATCTAAGTCCCCTGGCCCTTTGCTAAGATCTAAGATCCCTGGCCCTTGGCGTGAATTGGGTGCTTGTCACTTTGAGGGATGTCCCTTGAACTCCTGCTGGACCTTTTATTTCTGTAATGCCTCTGAGCTCTTGAGAGATGTGAGGCCCACGTTTCTGGCTTGGCTGAGGCCACAGTTCAGTCTGGACTGTCCTCTTGGTGCTGAACTTTGGCTGCCTTCCACACACACTCCTGCTACCTTTTTTTTTTTTTTTTTATGGCCAAGATAGTTCTTGAGAGAAAACCTGGATCTCTGCTCACCACAGATACTGGGAAAGATGTACTTAGAGGAGGTGTTCATAACTCAGCTGTTGAACAAGATGTTGAGAACAGGCCCACGGGTGTAGACAGTCAATTGGGGATGAAGGACCCTAACAGATGTGTGGACCAGAAGCTTAGTAGCACTCTGCAGGGGTGAGCGTACTAACTATAAGTTTCAGCTTCACTTGCTGCTGGTGGTTAAGTATATTTTCTGTTCCCCAGTAGGAGTGGGCTGGGGTAGGGTGGGGAGAATTTGCAAGAAGCCTTCTGAGGAGGGTGACCAGCTCATCTTGGTTTGCCCAGAACATTTGTGATTTCAAAACAGAAAATCCCACAGTACCAGACAAGCCAAACCATTGGTCATCCCAGAGGCAGAGGGAAGCAATGGGTTGGATCATCAGGAATCCGCAGTGTAATACTAGGGACACAATCTGCTTAGCAAGGGCAAAGCCAGGTTCTGGGGGAAAAAAAAAAAAAAAGGACAGCCCCCGTTGCTGGGTCAGTGTTTACCCTGAGCCTGGGAAAGTGCACATTCACAGGCATCAGGATGAGATTGCATTGTGTTCGTGAGATGATTTTGGCACAGATGTACCTAAGAGTTCATAGAATGAGGAACTTTCTAAGTAATTAATCAATATATTCACAATTGTGGTTTCCTTTTAATTAAAGAAGCTTGGCAAGCATTAAACACACCAGTTCTCCGAAGGACAATCTAACAATAGACTTTATTTATTTATTTATTCCTTCCAATCCTTCCAACAATGGATTTAAAAAGGAAAAAAAAACTCCATCTGAACTATTTTTCAACTTTCATGGCCTATACAATTTTGAGGGGAAGCTTCTTTATTTATATTTTTCTTCTTTTAGTAGAGATGAAGCCATTGGAGCTATCTTTAAATCACAACTCTTTTGCTCTTCTGTGTTTCTTTGGAGTTCCTTCCTCTTTTTGTCTTGGAAATGTCTCCCTCTATTTTGATATTTTCTTTTCTAAGAATGATGTCTTTGAAAGACATGGTGGAGGTCAGCAGGCATGGGAGGTAGATGGGCTGTGAGAACAATATGATTTTAGTGTTATTTGGGAGCTAAAGTTCTAATGGTGCTTCTAAATTGAATCCCCTGTGTTGTGCATTTGAAATGTTTGAAGTGGAGGTGGAGGATAGTGCAGCCGGCAGGGCACTTGCCCTCCATGTGGCTAGCCCACATTCAATCAACAGCACTGAATGTGGTCCCCTGACCACTGTTAAGAGTCATCCCTGAGTACAGAGCTGAAATAAACTGCCAAGGATGCCCCCCCATCCCCAGCAAAAAAAAAAAAGTTCAAAGCATCATGATCTTACTGAAGTTTTAATAAGCAGTTTCTTACCTTTGTGAGTAGTGTTTAAGTACAGTTATAAGTGACTAAAGCGTGTGTTGCTAGTGGTAACACACATCTATTGAGCCATTTAGGGTCAAACTTGGCCATAGAGATGTAGGTGCACTTGATTGAATAAGGGGACTTGAGGTGAGTACAAACCAGGATAAAAAGGTGAATTTGTTCTGTTTCTCAGAACTACAGTGAGGGCTGTTAATTGGTGTTCTTTCCCCTGGAGAATTGTTAACCACCAGTAGTTCTTGAGCAAATGAGATAAATAAACTACACTGAACATTGAAAAGACTTGCAGGAGTGTTGAGTGAGAAAAGGAAGTTGTAGAATGAGAATTTACAATATGTAATATTTATTCACATAGATGTAAAGAAAGTGATTTGGAGACTCATTCTGCTGAGGGCTTTGAGAAGACCTGAGCTTTATAATGTATCTTTTCTAAAGAGAAGAAGCATCCATGTGTATGTGCGATCAGGTGTTTTTGCTTTTTTATTTTTTTTGCCCTGTAGGGGATAGAACAAGAGGGTCTCACTCAGGGTAAACTGAACTTTATCCCTAGTCCTGAAAGATCAGGTTTAAAGTTACCTTTAATCTAACCATTCAAATGTTTACCTTCCTTGTCACCTCCTTTTCTTTCTTCTGCTAGTACATTTAGCAGACTGTGGAGCTACATTTAAATCATGTGTGATGTAATTCAGAATCTTTGGATACTAACTGGGCTCAGTTGAGCCAAAGAGATCAGAATGTGGTTGGAACCATGGAGGTGAAAAGCAGCATGGGGCAGCGGAAGTGGCATAAGGCAGTTGCTTGGAGGCTGGTGGCCCGGCTCAAGGGTGGATTACCTTTCTGACCTTGGCCAGCTTGGTAGCCTTTCTGTGCTCTCGACTCTATCCCTGTGTTAGCTAAGCAGTGGATGGTCCGTCTTTAAATTCTCTCATTTGAACTCTTGAAGATCCCCGCCTCTTTTCTAAGAGATTTTTGTTTCTCTGCATGATCCTATGGAGAGTTAAAGGCTGTGACCGACACTCATCTGCTAATACTGAGCCTAGCCCTTGTCCTGATTCCTCCTCACTGGCTTCTAGTAAGTGAGAGCTGGTCATGTAGTTCCAACATCAGAGATGATTCAGTTCTAGTTTGATGAGTGGATATAGGAAATCGTTTTGGGGTGATGACAAAGTGTTAAAGCTAGATAAAGATGGTGATTTGCACAGTATGAATGCATATTGTGCAAATATGCAGATATGAAAAGTGCATTGTATTATTATTGTTGATGTTTGTGGTTTTGGGATCCAGAGCCTTACATATACAAGGCAAGTGTTATATTGCTGAGTCACATTCCTGGAACTGAATTATACACTTCAAAGAGGTTCATTTTATGTAGTATACATTTAACATCAATTACAAAATATTTTGTGTGTGTGTGTGTGTGTGTGTGTGTGTGTGTGAATGTGTGTAAAGCTGACTGGCTTTGGCATTCTTAAAAACCAAGATGGTGACCAGGTGATAGTCCACTGGTTAGGATGCATGTCTGGTACATACCCAGTAAGGCCTTCATCCTTGACACCACATATGGAGCATCACTGGGTGCAACCCTGGAAGCCCCTGAGCAACCCTGTGTCCTCACACCTTTACATTGTATTACTGGCCTGTTTGGCCAAGAATAGCTGGGGGTGGCCACAGGGCAATTTTTGTCAGGCCTCAAAAACCTCTGAGCAATTTTTGTCAGGCCTCAAAAATCAAAAATAAGAGCAAAAGCAAATTTTAAAATTAGGGGTGAGAATCTATAGTTATACTATCAAATGTGGTAGCCATTAAACTTGTGAAATCTGGAGGTCCAAATGGAAACAAGCTGTGAGTGTGACATTTACACTAGCCTCCAAAGCCCTAGTATGAAAAAAAAGAATATAAATATCTCTTTTGTGATATTTAAAGTGGTGCTTACAGTGATCTCTTTTGTGATATTTAAAGTGGAGGGATAGTACAGCGGGTAGGGCATTTGCCTTGCACACTGCCAACCCGGGTTCGATTCCCACCATCCCATATGGTCCCCTGAGCACTGTCAGGAGTAACTCCTGAGTGCAGAGCCACATTGTCGGGTTTGACCAAAAAAGCAATAAATAAATAAATAAAGTGGTGCTTACATGTTTAAATGGTTTTATATATATATATAAATACATGTAAATAAATATATATATTTTGTTGTTGTTGTTTTGGAGGCGTACCCAGTGATGCTCAGGGGTTACTTCTGGCTCTGCTCTCAGGAATCACTCCTGGCAATTCTTGGGGGACCATGTAGAGTGCCAGGGATCAAACCTACCTTACCTGCATGCAAGGCAAGAGCCTTACCTCGTGTGCTATTTAGCTTTTCCAGAAATGGTAGTATCTTGAATGTATTATATTAGAAATATATATATATATATGAAGATATATGTATTTTAAAGGCAAAAGTCCCTGGAGAATAATGAAATAATGAAGAGGCTTAATCCACACTAAACTGGAAATATTTAAAAAAAAAAAGAATAGTACAAACTAAGATCTGACAGATAAAATCATTTTTTTTTCTTTACTTTTGGGTTATACCCGGTGGTGCTCAGGGGTTGCTCCTCATTCTGCAAATAGGAATTTCTCCTAGAGGTGCTCAGGGGACTATATAGGATGCTGGGGATCAAATCTGGGTGGGCTGCATGCAAAGCAAATGCTCTACCTGTTGTACTAATGTACTCTGACCCCTAAAATACCTTTTTTTGTTTATTTTTATGTCAAATCCAGTTGTGCTTTGAGTGTACCCCCGGCTCAGTGCTCGGGGGACCGGGTGTGGGGACATGTGCCAGTGATTGAGCCTGAACCTTCTGCGTGTGTATTATGCACTTCAGCCCTTTGGGCTGTCTCTTTGTCCCCAAATGATATCATTATGAAGTTGATAAGAAGTTTATAAGTTTAACCTTTACCAAAAAGTAGGTTTTGATTAGGGTGAGAAAGCTGAGAAAAGGGAAAGGTTGACCGCAGGGAAAGTTCCCTTTTAGTGGGCCCAAAAGTGAAAACTGTCTTTGCTAAAAACCTAAAAGTTTTTAGGTGTTGAAATAGACCATTGTTCAGTGGGGATCTTATCTTGAAAAATATTCATGCAAGTAACTGTCAATACTTCATAGTTTGTGCAGAGATAGTGTAAGAGCCATGGGTTCTTTGAATCAAGAGAAGTACCTGGATAACTTACATAGAATGTAGTGGTTTTTATGATCAAAGAGGTGGGAAGGGACCCTTTAAATGATCCCTTAGGACATTTTAAATTTCCTTGGTTGTGTAGCTTCGGTGTGAGGAAGTATAAGCACTTCCTGAAGATCTATGGCCCCATTTACCCCTTTGTGCAAAGGACAGAACTCAGAATAAGCTGCTTTATTTTTTTGCCCTTTTCTTTAATACTCATCTTTTTGTTTTGCCTTTCTTCCCCCAGATCAGCAACGTCTTGTTTTTCATTTTACCGCCCATCTGCATGTGTTTGTTTCGTCAGTACGCAACATGCTTCAACAGTGGAATCTACCTAATATGGGCCCTTTTAGTTGTAGTGGGTAAGTGGATTTGTTTGTGAGCACGGTTTGAAAGGGAGGAAATGGAATTCTGCACTCTTCCTGTTCCCTTTGAACAGTATGTTTTGTAAACCGAGGTAATTCTGATGTCTGAGCAAACTCTTATTTTGCGTGTGAGATGCCACAGGAAGAGTTCCTGTGCGTCGAGGCTTGTTACTAAGGTTGGCTGTGCCGATCATGAACTGCCCGTGAGAGTCCATTTTTGTAATAGCTATTGGGGTTCTGCCAATGCAGTTTTCTCCGAACTTCTGAAGAAAATCTTGTGAGCTATTGAACTCTGATGAGACTGTGATTTATGTATGTTTTGTTTGTTTCTGGGCCACACCCAGTGGTGCGCAGGGCTTGCTTGTGGCTCCACACTCCAGGATCACTCCTGGCAAGGCTTCAGGGGTCATCGGGGTACTGGAGACTGAACCTGAGCTGGCTGAGTGCAAGGCAAGCTCCCTACCTGCTGTATGATTGCTGCAGCCTGAAGCTGTGATTTCTGATGGAATAAATAATTTAAAAAATCTATGTTTGAGGCCAGAGAGATAGTACAGTAGAAAGGGTGCTTGCCTTGCAGATGGCCAACCTGGGTTTGATCCCCAGCCTCCTATATGGTCCTCTGAGCCTTCCAGGACGGATTCCTGAGTGTAGAGCCAGGAGTAATCCTTGAGCACTGCCGGTATAGCCCATCCCCCCACTCAAACCCCTTCATATTTGGGGCTGGAGGGATGGTGCAGCAGGTAAGGCCTTTTGTGCTGCTTACCTGGATTCAAATGTATGGTCCCCCAAGTACCTCAGGGATGATCTCTGAGCACAGACCCAGGAGTAAATCTGAAACACTGCCAGATGTGGCTGGCCCCAAATCCCAAAAGGTAAAAAAAAATAATAATAATAATTAAAAAAAAATCTAGATGTTTAAACCTGTATTGTTCTCGGAAATACTTGTATAATTTCTATTTCCTTCCATAAGAGACTGGGAATTCTCAACAGTGAGAGAATGTTGACTTTTATTTACTACCTTTTCCCATGAGGGTACAGAGGCAGAAGACAGAGTATGTTTTACTGAATTTAATACCGTCACTAGGCTAATAATTGGGCCCTTCTTGAATCCTCTTTATCAACTTGAAGTTAACATGCAGAGGTAGTATAAATTTCCTCCTTAAGGTTTGTTTTTCAGAGAGAAAAGGCTATCTGGTAATTGAGACAGCTGTTGGCAAAGGACTGTTCTTACACAGTATGTTAAATTTGTGAGTCTCCTATGATGACCTTTTTTTGTTGAATGTCATTGGTTCTAGGAATTGGATCCGTCTACTTCCATGCAACCCTTAGTTTCCTGGGTCAGATGCTTGATGAACTTGCTATCCTCTGGGTTTTGATGTGCGCATTGGCCATGTGGTTTCCTAGAAGGTATCTTCCAAAGATTTTTCGGAATGACAGGTAAGCTTGGATTACACATTTTTTTTGCATGTACCATGAGGTTTTGCAAATTTATTAGTGAGGATTATATCAAGAAAAATAGTATACGATAGAGCTCAGCCTAATGATGAGCTTATAATATAATTGTTTATTAGCTGCTGATTATTTATGGCATGACAGTATAAATAAAATGATAATAAAAGACGACCAGAGAGATAACACAGGGATTAAAAACACTTGCTTTGCACATGGCTGACCTTAGTTCAGTCCTCAGCACTGCATATGGTTCCCTGAGCACTTCCAGAAGTGATCGCTGAGTTCAGAGTCACAGTAATCCCTGAGCACCACAAGTGGATAGAGATGACTTGAGTGCTGATTTTGATGAGGGAACACCTTTATGAGGAGTTGTCTGAAGTCTGTTCACATAAAACAAAACAGAACAAAAAAAGGACCCAAGCGATAGTACAGTTGATAAGGCACTTGCCTTGCACATGGCCAACCTGGGTTTGCTCCCCAGCATTCCATGTGGCCCCCTAAGCACTGTCAGGAGTAATTCCTGAATGCAGAGCCAGGAGTAGCCCCTGAGCATCTCCAGGTATGGTCCCCCAAACTAACAAAAACAAACGAATACACTTCACTTCATAAAGATAAGGAATGTTCTCAAAGCATACTACCCACATATTTCATACAACATCTTCAAATCTAGGATACCAAGTTTTATCTATGGATGAGTAGTTTAGAATTGCAGATTATATCTGGCTGTGTGTGTTTAGGGCAGAGTTCTATCAACAAAATGAAAAGAGTTGACAAAGTGTTCCTGTGCCCTGAATAGCCACTGGAGTCCAGCATCTATTCACGGAAGTGGAGGGGCTCCCATGAAAAATACTGGCTTCAAAAGGCAACTTGTAGATTCAGAGAGATAGCAAAGGAGTCCAATGCTTGCCTAGCATGTGGCCACATTCCCCAGCAGCACACAGGGCAGCTCTGGGTATGGCCCCAAACACTCTCCACCAAGAAAAAGGCACTTTGTAGAACTGAGTGTATCTGCTACCACAGTTTTCTGTTTTCTTTTCGTAGTCGTGGGGGCTGCACGCACATTGCTGGTGGTGATTATAAGGCAGGTTCAATCACATGAGCCACATCCCTACCCTAATTTTAGAATGAATGAACTAACTTTTTTGGTTTGTTCAGTGCTCAGTGCTTTCTCCTGGCTCTGTGCTCAGGGATGACTCCTGGCTCTGTGCTCAGGGATCACTCCTCGCAGGGCTGTGGGGGGTTGCATGTGGTGCTGGGGCTTGAACCCAGGTGCAATACAAGCGCCCTACCCACTGTTCTACCTCTCTGACTCCCTAACCTCTTTATGAAAATAGATTTTTGTTCACAAAAATGTTTAATAGAAAAAGAACAAGTACCATTGAATTTTCACTTTAATCTGTGCGATTTGTGATATCTGTGTTCATTTTTTTCTTTTTGGGTGACACCCGGCGATGCTCAGGGGTCACTCCTGGCTTGCACTCAGGAATCACTCCTGGCGGTGCTTGGGAGACCATATGGGATGCTGGGAATTGAACCCGGGTCAGCCGCTTGCAAGGCAAAGGCCCTACCCGCTGTGCTATTGCTCCAGCCCCTGTATTAATTTTTAATTGACTTAAAATATAATTTTTTGCATAGTTTTAGAGTCCCACTGGCAGTGCTGGACAATACTTCAAGCTTGGTGCTGGCAGGTTGGCCCTGGTGGTGTTCAGGGATTAAACCTATAGCTCAAACCCAGGACTCCAGTGCGTGCGAAGCATGTCCTCCAACCCCTAAAAATGTGTTTTAAAATGAGGCAGGGAGAAACCACACTTTAAATAGATAACTGCACAGACTTCATCCTGCATAGCAGGACTTGAATGAAATGGCATTATCTCTGAGTGGATACAAGTACTCTTAAGAAGATTATTTATGACAAAGTAAGTGTGAATTAGCTCTTCACAGTAAAAGTGAAAAGGAAGTTACTGTTGGTTCCCAACTTGCTGAGATTTTCTCCTTGGCTGTATCCGCATATGTTCAAGTTCAGTATCTGTATAGTACGTAACCATGTGGCTAGTTGGTTGACACTGCCTTCCAGTTCCTGTCTGCTAGTTTTGTTTCCTTGTTCAGCAAGAGGAGAAGAGGGTCTGACTGGGGTGGGGATGGGGACAGAAGTGAAGGGCACTTGACAGTGCCTGGAGGTCACTGGTGGGCAGGAGCGTTTTGAAGCTGTTAGTGAAACAAACCATTAATACTTTGGCTTTTCTGTTGTGTCAGAAGGTGCTCACCAGTTCGCTCCATCCTTTCCCTAAGCCTGCTGTATGTTAGGAACCATTCTGCCCCTTAGTGACGATCTTTCAAATCCTGGGATTGAAGGAAGAAGCTGAGGAAATGGGAACGCAGGTTTGGTTTGTTTGTGGTACTCTGGGGTCCTGGGTTGAAATTCCCAGTGGCAGTTTTTGTTTGCAGGGGATTTTGGGGTCACACCATTAGTATTCAGGGGCTACTCATGGCTCTGTGCTGAGAGACCAGTGACAATTTTTCACGTGCTTATGAGAGAAAAATATTTTTCTCAATTCTTTGCTTTTTAAAATGTGATAACATTTTATTTAAGAAACATGAACAGAGAGTAAAGGGAGAGAAAGTTTGCATCCCACCTTGTGGTGGAGGTGCACCCTTTTCCCTCTTTTCTGAAGGTGAGAATGAGGCGCTGTTGTCATGAATGGCAGAGAAGAAGTTGGAGACAATGGCCGTGGTCATGAATCATGCCAAGTTTACTCAGAGACACACTAGGAGCAGAGAGGGAGACTGTGACTACTTAGGACTTTTCCATCCATTGCCAGCGTATGGTCGTGTTTCTTAGAGAGAATGGAGGGGCCCTGACCTCCACTGTCTCCTGTTATGGGCTGAGCTTCACAGGCATGCCCCTGACTTGGGAGACAACCTGGGTTGGAATTCTACCTTTCCAACAATACAAACTTGTCTTGACTCCTTTTTTGTTTGTTTTGTTTTGGTGCTCAGGGCTTACTCCTGGCAATGCTCAGGGCAACTGTATGATAGGAGGGATGCACCTGGCATCAGCCATCTACAAGGCAAGAGCCTCAATCCCTGTGCTGTGTCTCCTGCCTGGGACACTTTAAGTTTCTGTTTACTCAGCTGTAAAACTCACTCAGTCAGTAATGATATCTCCTCAGATATCATTTTTGTGAGATGATCCTATCATGAACTTAAACTAGTCACAAGAATGTGGCAGAAGCTCAGGGTTGCTCTCCAGACTACCGGGGCCTGCAGAGACTTTTGTCCTTTGTAAGAGACAGTCATGAAGATTAAAGGAGGAAATAGGCACTGAAGATCTAGGTGAGTAGAAGAAAAGGAAAAATGAAGTACATGTCATAGGAGAAGGAGCTCACTGTTTTCAGGATTTTAGCTCTACCTGTCTGTCGTCGTTCTTCGGGTGAAGGGGAGAGCAAGAAGGCCAACCCCGTTGTTTATGGGCTTTACGGCCAGAACGTGGATGCCATTGGCAGCTCTCCTGGGGAAGTGGTAGGCTAGTCCAAAGATTTTAGGTCAAAATCAGGATTTCTGAAGACTGGGGATTTTCTGCTTTAGCTTTCTGAACTTGCCAACCGGTTAGCATTGCTCTTTCTCAACTTTGCTGAATATTTTAAAAGCATATTCAGAGGCCCGGGGAGATCGCTCAAAGGGCTGGAGCACATGCCCCGGTCAGAGTTGGCAATGCACAGAGCACCGAACTCTCAGGCTTGGTTGACTGAGCATTGCTGGGAGTCAGCCTGGACCTCCTGAGCATAATGAAAAATATGTTAAGAGTAAGTGCTAGTTTGAGATTTCTGGAGAAGTCACAGAAAAATGTGATGGCTAAGCAAGTTGAAACAGACAGATAAGACTTTGGATAAAAATCTGCTTTTTGTATTTGAAATGATTATTTATTATTATCGGTATAATGCTTGGGTTTGGGCTGGAGCGATAGCACAGTGGGTAGGGCGTCTGCCTTGCACACAGCCAACCTGGGTTCGATTCCTCCGTCTTTCTTGGAGAGCCTGGCAAGCTACCAAGAGTGTCCTGCCCGCACGGCAGAGCCTGGCAATCTCCTTGTGATGTATTCAATATGCCAAAAACAGTAACAAGTCTCACAATGGAGACATTACTGGTCCCCACTTGAGCAAATTGATGAACAATGGAAGGACTGTGCTACAGTGCAATACTTGGGCTTGGGGGTCACACTTGGTGATGCTCAGGGATTACTTCTGACTGCATGCTGTACGATCTCTCCATCCCAGAAATGCACTGCTTTTAATAAAAGGCTTTGATACGTATTTCACATAGTAAGTAGAGAAAATAAAAGAATCTTGGCACATGGGTTTAAAATATATGAGACAATCATATAAACTCTAAAGCACAGGCTCTAGTGAAGAGTAAGGACTCTAAGTGGTAGCAGTTATTATAAATGACTAATATGACTAATATGAATATCTTCTTTTTTTCTTTTTGGATCACACCTGGTGATGCTCAGGGGTTACTCCTGGCTCTGCGCTCAGGAATCACTCCTGGCGGTGCTCGGGGGACCATATGGGATGCTGTGAACCAAACCTGGGTCGGCCGTGTGCAAGGCAAACGCCCTACCCACTGTGCTATCGCTCCAGCCCTAATATGGATATCTTGAAGATAAAAATGTCTAGAACATCAAGGAAATTTTTAAGTTTCTTAGTATGTAGAAATAATGTTGTTTTAAGGGAAAAAAGCTCTCTTTCTTCCACTAGAATATCCCAGGGTTCATTCAGCTGTTGAGTGACTATTGGTAATTTTCAAATATTTTTGTTTTGAAGAATAGCCAAGCATTAGGACATCCTAGGCTAATGGTATCCATTTCTTAATGGAGCCATAGGAAATCACAGGCTAATTGTATCCATCTCTTAAATAATTTATCACTCCATGATTTTTATGACTTTTGCCTCCACAAAATTGAGGGACATGTCACTTTATAAAGTTTA